CAATCTAACTGAGGTCAACTTTGGAAGGAACTGACCCGTTTCCAGAGCCACAGAAAATGAACTTACTCCCTCATTACACAGGCATCGTTCAAGCCCCAGAAGTGGCCTCTTCAGGTTCTGAGCCTCCAAATTCTGGCCCAGCCAGAAAGAACTTGCAATACACCCCAAAGCAGCTGAGCTCTTGGACAGTCTTGGAGGGACTGTCCCTCAAGCCAAGATCTGGATCAGCTATAGAGAGATGTTGCCATCCCTGGCTCAGCTGCGCAGACACAAAGGACACCTCTCCTCCCAAGGAGGCTCAGATGAACCACCCCGCTTTCTGCTGTTCCAATTAGGGGGTTATGGCCACTGGAACCCAACCCACCCGAAGGTCACTGAATCTGCAAGGAGGGTGCCACGGCCCTCCCTCTGGTCTTCCAGTTGCTTAGCCTACTTACAGATGGAGATCCCCTTTGGGAGAGGAATCCCTCAAGCTGTCCTTGGCGGTCTTCCAACCTGGCATCATCCAGAGGGCTGGGACTGCCCTCCCAAAATTTTCAGCCAAGGTGGAAGGTGCCAAGTTGCACAAGGCAGTTATACAGAATGGAAGTTGTGGCTGTCCAGAGACTTATCTTAATCTCCAGTTGAACTGTAACCACTGACAGGGTTCTCATAGCTGCCAGTTCAGCCACCACTTGTGTTAGATCCATGTCCCTCCAGGCTGGTTAAGGCTGCACAGGATGCATGACTGGGTTCTGGGTTCGGGTGATGGTTAATACCTCCCTGAAGAAGGGGCCAGTCCTGCCGGCTCTTAAAGAGGCAGCAGCACCATCACCTCAAGGGGCCATTGCTTGACCCACTAATCTGGACAGCTTTTGTCCAGTTTCCAATCTTCCCTTTTTAGGGAAGGTTGTAGAGGAGGTGGTTGCTCTGCAGCTTCAGAGGACTCTGGAAGAAACAGATTATCTGGACCCCTTTCGGTCAGATTTCAGGTCCAGGTATGAGACCGAGATGGCAGTGACTGCACCCTTGGAGGTCCTCTGGTGGGAGCAGGATTGGGTCGGCGCATCCACCCTTGGTCTTCTTGACCTCTCAGCGGCCTTCAGTATCATCAGTCTCGGTATCCTCCTTCTGGGCCAGCTCCAGGAGTTGGGGGTGGGCAGCGCTGTGTTGCACTGGTTCTCCTCCTCCCTCTAGGAGAGGTCCAGCCCATGGCCTCTGTTATGTGGGGCTCTCCAGGACTTGGTCCTCTTGTTTGGCATCTACATGAAGACGCTGGGTGAGGTCATCCAACAGTTTGGGGTGAGGTATCACCAATATGCTGACAATACCGAGTTTTTAAGTTTTACAACCCCATCCCAGGCCGCCTCAGGGCTGCCTTGGACATCCTGTCCCAGTGCCTGGAGGCTGTGGGGGCCTGGACGGGACGTAGCAGGCTTTGGCTCAACCCAAGCAATCCTGAGCAGCTTTGGATACTTGGAGCTTCTGGTGCCAGGGACATGCCATCCTTAGTTCTGGATGAGGTGGCACTGCCTCAGACAGACCCGATGCACAACTTGGGGATCCTCCAGGTTTGCACACCTCCGGGATGTGCATAAGTTGCACCATTCCTGGCCTGAGAGGCCCTGCTCTCAGTCGCTCATACCGTCCCATCTGGACTACTGCAAAGCCCCTTGATGGGGCTGCCCTCGAAGAGCGTTCGGAAGCATCAGCTGGTGCTGAATGCAGCAGCACGGGTAGTAAATGGCGCCAGCTACTTAGCACGTGTAAAACACCACTACCTCGTGAGCTGCGTTGGTTGCCAGTGTGCAATTCAAAGTGCCGGTTGCTTGGGACCAGTTACTTAAAGGCCCGTCTCTCCCCGGTTGTTTCTACCCATCCTGTCCGGTCTGGCAGGATAGACATGCTTCGGTCCTCTCGGCAAAGGAATGCCGGCTGGCAGGGCCCAGCAGGTGAGCCTCTTCTGCTGTGGCAGCCGCCCTGTGGAATATTCTCCCTCCGGAGAGCAGGAAGACCCCCACCCTGCCGGCCTTTCGTGGGGCCCTAAAGACCTGGCTTCGTGCCCACGCCTGGGGCCCTGAGCGCAGGAAGGGACCCGACTCCTGCCTTTGCAGAGGACGGTTTGTTCCCTCGGCTACCGTGTATTTATTTTTATTATTGTTTGCCGCCCAGAGTTGCTGAGATGGGCAGCTTTATAAACTGACCGAATCAGTCAATAAATGTAGACTTAGGCACGTGTTTGCCTGCACTACTGTGCTGCCCATTCAGCTTATGCTCGTAAAAGCAACATGGACCAGTAAGAACAGCCACGCGACACCTCATGATCCACCTAACTGGGGTTCTCCTTACCCTACAGAACAGCGCGGTTGGGGAGCATCCTGACCTTGGGGGACAAGCTGCCCAGAGAGGGTTGCAGCTGAAAAGGCCACTGCCCGTTCCCACCCTGACCGCCCCGGAGGGAAACACACATGCCCCTCCCCCACTCTCCTCCTCGCCCAGCAGGTGCCTGGTGGGCAGCTTCCCCCTGGAGCCAACAGTCCTGAAGGTAACTGCAGTGTCACTTCTGCTCCGCCGACCAAAGGGGTAATGCAAAGTTGCACACGCACGCACACCCATGCATGTGCTAGTTTCTCTCTCAGAAAAGTGGGAACCCCCAAATGCGCGACTTCCCAGGTGGAGAGATGACGGGCTGAGCTCCTGAGGAAGCGCCCTTCTCTCTTCCGATCGAGAAGCAGGAGAGGAGACCCCGGGCGGCACGGCACAGCACGACATGGAGATTCACTGCCGGGGCGGGCAAGCATCTTCCAGTGGAAGCCCAAAGACCGCACAGGCATTAAGGGGGACCCTTCTCCTCCCACCTTGCTGCTTCCCTCGAGTGGTGGGTGGACCCTGAAGGGGAGACGCTGCCCGTGCTCGCTCTCCCACCGACGCCAAAGGGCAATCCCAGCTCAGGCCCACCAAACTGCAGCCTGGGGACAGGACAGACCGAGGCCCAACCGTGCTGACCCCGGGCACCAACTCTGCCCATTTGCAGGCTCCGCACAGCACAGTAAACCGTGAATTAAGCAGAGTTCACGCAACGCGCTCCCAACCAGATATCTCAGTCCAGCGGCCCCGCTGGTGCCAATGCCTCGGCAGGGCTCTGCCCGACGTACAGAGCGCATGTGGTGGGGAGGCACCCCAGGAATTGCCGCGCTCCAAGGTCCAGAGCCCTTTGCCTCAAGACAAACCCAAGGCTCGATGCCCCACAAGCCAAGCAGGCATCTGCCGGGCAAACCATCCTTCAGCCCCCCTCCCCTGAAAACACAGCTGCAGCAACTGCCAGGGCACCCAGGAAAGCCTGCCCAGGAATGGCCGTGCCAGAGGGCCAGCGTGGCAGGGGTGGCAAGGCAGGCCAGAGCCTGTGTCCAAGCTGGGGCTGCCCCTGGGCCCCCTCCAGGAGGGGCGCCTGCAGTGGACCCCAGGCCAGGCCAGGCCAAAGCTGCTCAAGGCCACCCAAGGCCCTGCCCCACTCTCCCTTCCCAACTCCGGAGGCAGGAGGCCAGAAACACCGGCTCTTCCAACTCCACCGGACGCCCTCCAAGCACTCAGGTCCGGCTGGTCCTCTGAAGACCCCTGCAGTCTTCCTTCTGCTCACAGGACCTCGCTGGCCTTTGGTCACATGAAGGCAAAGGGAGGCTGTGCCCACGAACACACACACACACACAATTATGTGGGGGCAGGATCAAACTGGCATTCAGAAGGATTTCTTTTAAAAAGCAGCGGCTGAATCCACACTAAGAAAAACCATGTTATGTTACCATCCTTTATGAACGCGGCACTTCAGGCTTCGGGGGGAAGGGCTGGAGGAAAGGCCCCTTGGTCTGGCCCATCACCCAGCTGGGCCACAGGAAATCACCCACCTCTCCAACCCTCAGGACAGCCAGGCTGGGCCCCACCACCTAGACCTCCAGACGCAGCCTGCTGGGGAAGCCAAGCGCGGGGAGGCTGGCCAGGCCACCTCCGGGTGCTGCGAGGGGCGCTTTCCAAAGGACCCGGTTCCTAGGAAGGACTCGGTGTCTGGAATACGCAGCACAGACCTTCGGAATTGCCAGCCTGGGGCTGGCTCAGATGCCCAGCTGCTGCCAGGCCCAATGAGGGCCACTGAAATCCAGCTGTGACCGTGTCCCCCAGCGGTCACCACGGTTCGGGCAGGCACTTTGTTGGCCTCGGCCTTTGGCCCGGGAGCAGCCTCAAGGGGAAGCCCAGAGCTGCCCTCCATTCGGCCGCATTCAGTCCTCCTGCCCCCGACGCTGGAGGCTCCAGATGACTCCCCTAACTGGCCGCCGACGGTAGCCCTCTCTCCAGCCCCCGTTCAGAACGGGCCGGACTGACTCTGCAAGAAGCGGCCGGTCCTCCTTCGGCTGCCCG